ACACACACACACACACACACACACACACACACACACACACACACACACACACACACACACACACACATTCACAACGCTGCAGCATCCCAACAACACCAGCATCACCAGGTGCAGTGGAGCAAAACCTACTATAGAGTGCGTGAGAGAGAGAGAGAGAAGGGAGGAGGGGAGGGATGAGGGGATGAACTAGGGAGAGAGAGAGAGGGCTGGTAAAGTGGTGGGATTTGTGTCAAAGCCTCTGCTCTGTCAGACATGCGCAAGAGCGTCAGCAGCAGCAGCAGCAGTACCACCGCCACCGCTGCTCTGCGTTTCCGCCTTGGCTGAGCGGTGCGCACGGCCGAGAGAGAGGCGAGGAGCGAGGGGAGGGGAGAGGGAAGACGCCGAGAGAGGAAGAGCGGAGCCACCGAGACGCAGTGGGGCACAGCACGGACTCCGAGCAAAATTAACCACCGACGCACCACCACCACCACCACCATCCATCACCTCCCCAGATTCTCCAAAGATTCCCGCGTCAAGGAGAGAGACGGGGGGCCCCCACAAGCGAGGCAGTGCGCACCAGAGCCCTTCCAGCATGGAGACTGCGATAAAACCCGAGCACTAACAATGTGAGATTTACAGAGGGAATCAGAAGAGAGAGAGAGAGCGAGCGTGTGTGTGTGTGTGCATGTGTGCGTGCATGAGAGAGAAAGAGAGAGAGAGAGAAAGTGGCATCCCCCTTGTATCTTGTGCGGGTGATTCTGAATTGTGTGTCTGCGCAGTCTGAAGATGAAGAAGTTCAACATCAGGAAGGTGCTGGACGGCTTGAAAGAGGTGTCCTCCTCCACCCCGTCCGTGCAAGTGGGGCCACAGGAGAACCATCTGATCCAGGAGAGCCTCCAGTCCGAGCACTTCCAGCTCTGCAAGGTGCGTTTACACACACACACGGTTCCTATGTTGTCATCTCCCTGTGCCATGTCCTCTGCGTGTAGTTTTTATTTTTCACTGTTGAGGATGCGCATATCCCTCCAGCAGGTGGAAGTGAGCTCTGCACAGTGAATGCATTGATGAACATTTTCCGTTAATAAATGTACAACATGCTGATTGAAGGTTTCTTTAAAATCCCTCATAGACAGAAGCGTCCAGTGCATGGTGCTTACTGTGACATGCCTTCCTTACTATGCGCAAAGAGAGCTCTCTCCAGGCGACAGGACGATAAACATGACTAAATTCATATTGGACGCATTTGCATTGTTTTAATTGCTCTTGGATTTTTGAGATGATCTCCTGACATTGGGTGTTGCGGCGTTGGTGACGACCCTCTGTGAAAAAGCGTGTGCGCCTGGCATGAACTGTCATATGGAGGGGCAGGGCCAAACTGATCCCCTCTTGCATAATACGCTGGGTTTGGATTAGAGGAACGGTGCTCTGTGGTCGATGCCACCTTATTGCTCTCTCCATCCACCCCCCCCACACCTCACTCACTCCTCTCTCTTGCTCTAACACACACACACTCTCTGGTCTCTACTTTACCCCCACATCATTGATCCAGTGGGGACTGGTGGCGCCTGTAGTGAGTGGGAGCCTGCTTGGAAAAAAAAAAAAAAATCTGGCTTGCCCTCCTCCTCTGTCTGAATTTGCCACAACAACGGATGAGGTTGATAAACACTCATGCAATTTACATTCTACGTCTTAACCCACCCTAATGGTGAATGAAGTGTTTCCCTAATGGTTTGGTGTGGCCTTTTTATTGACACCACAGCAGGCTGTTGTTTTCCCACATAATCTCACCTCATCAAGCTTGTTCGTTTGTCCTTTCCAAGGTTTTCAGTTGTTACGTTTCTCGTAGTTTTGTAGGTTTCAAAATCTTTGTGGATTGTAAGTGAGTGCAGTTGTTTTTCATGTGGGACAAAGTGCTGAAAACACAACCTTCAGCTGCCACAGCCCGTTGCCGCTGATAGGCTTTATCTCACATGGCGTCGTGTCTTTGTGCCTCTGGAGGTCAAAATCACAAAAGACTGATATGGTTGTTGCTATTGGCTGTTGTTATAGATGCCAACGAGCAACCGAAACACCAACATTAAGTCTGACTTAAGGGCAGATCAACTTTTTTTAAAAAACGTAATCATGCCTGAGTGAGAGCGACCGAAGTAATAACCAGAAATCGGGATAACATCATCGAGCGTCAACACGCCTGAGGGCTTAGAGGGGACGGCTCGGTTTAGTTGCAAGGGAGCCCCAGCAGAGAGGTTTGATTGCCACAGCAGCCGAAACGTGTGTATCAACAGCCAGCCATCTGATTGATGTCTCTTTGAAGAGGACTCCACACACACGTCCACACACACCCCCTCCTGCACCTTCACAGTCTGTCTGGACAGAAACCCGCTGTCATGTTCCTCTGTAAGGAAGGCAGGTGTCTCAGCTGCACTGAGTGCTTCTTATGTAACGTGTTTTAGCCTTCTGCCACTAAACAAACAAATCCAACGGCCCACCACTGGCTGACTGATGCAATAACTGTATATCCACACAACAACAGGGACACATGCCTATAGCGGGCCCTGCAACAGCACTGCAGCTCATCATTGATATGTTTTCTGTATATTTCAGACTTCAGTGTAATCACGACTTCATGTGGGAGGGAGTGAGAGAAGCAAAACAAGATAAAAAGAGAGGGATGAGAGAGAAGAAAATCTCAAAATAGTCCCATGAATATAAAAGGATCCTAAATAGTGAAGCCAAATATCCACCTATCACGAAGAACAGAGTGCCTATGCATAAAAAAAGTGTTTATTCTTCTGCTTCTTTTTCTCTTGTCAGCATAATATCAGGCTTTACATTTCATAACATCCATCTGGGCCGTTTGTTTAGGTGTGTGTGACATCCTCTGACAAAACAACACCCCTGCTGTGAAATGCAAATTGATATTTCTTTCTGACGCATCGTTTTTTTTCCGTCTTTCTGCAAATCTCCCAGACTGTCCGCCATGGTTTCCCCTATCAGCCGTCGTCCATGGCGTTCGACCCCGTGCAGAAGATACTGGCCATCGGCACCCAGAGTGGAGCTCTCAGATTGTATCCTTTCAGTTGCCAATAAGATGTTATAGGTTGGTGCGTCCCGTGGCAGCTCCTTTGGGGCGGCTGCATCCCTGCGAGGCAGCAGGTAAGTGAACAGATGTCTGAGCTGCCATGGGCAGACGCTGATGTAAGTTGGTTGGGTTTCAGCATATTTTTAGATTGTGCTGGAGAGTTTTCGGTAGCATTTGAAGCGTTGACAGTCCCCTGGAGCTCTGTATGTGCTGGTGAGATTCAGCATCAGGCATCTTTGATTTGCTTTCACCTGGATAAGCTCCAGATGTTGTCACATGGAACAATAACACTTAAACATACACCAAGAACAAGCTGAACTGAGTATCCCTTGAATTCCATACCTAAGCTGCTTTTACCTACATTTAAACGCTGTCTCACACATTCAAAATCACTGGAAAATCCAAGTCCACATTTATTTGGATATTGAAGTATGTGGCTCAGGTAGCTTGCATCGACTTTCGTGCAATATGAGGACGTTTACACAAACAGGGACAACAGCTTGCGATGAAATTGCACCACGGGGAGTCGTATAGCTTCAGAGAACGCCTGCGACTGCGCCTGTGTGAGGCTGCTTTTACAGGTCCTCCATGTGTTCTCCTGCCTGTCCGACAACCTTTGCCAGCTCATTACGGTGTGATGAAGAGCCGTCCGCCTGGCTGTCCCTCGTTCCCACCTGCTGGCAGCTATGGCTGTGACTCAGACTCGTTCACCTGTGCTGGAAAGGTGAGGATACCAACGGAGAGTCTCGCAGGAGGCAGGAGGGGGGAATGAGCTTAAAATCTACCAAGCTATGTTTACCAGACTTATTAAAGCACCACACTGGGCCGCCCATGTGCCTGAGCTATGTTTTCTTGTTCTATATCACCAGGTTGTCTGGCGAAGACTAAATGCTCCTAAAGATTTACAGATTCAACAGAAACCATGAATTACTTCATCCACAGCAAAGCGTTTTCTGCCAGTGGTTCACATGTATTAGTAGATATGAGATGAAATCCCTCCTCTGGTAAAAGTACTATGTCAAAGCTGATGCAGGAACTGGTGAATAAGCTTAATGGAGCTTATGTCTTGCCGGCTGGTGCATTACTCCTTTGAGCTGCAGACTGGGTAAACTCGGTGTTCAGGAAAGTATCCCATAACCAAACAGCTTAGAGGAGGCAGGGAAAACGCCTCCTCGCAGACTATCCTGAGTTTGGGTGAAACGATCTTGTCAGGTGGCTCCTGCAAGCTGAAGCTGGTCACTTTGAAATTGAATGAACAGAGCAATCTCTCTTGTGTTTGAGCGACGTGGATCAGATAGAGTCTTATCTGAGTCGGGAGGAAGGTGAGTTGTGAGTCATTCATTTATTCTTTGGGGCTGGTTCTCTTCCCCTTTCGTTTGCTGTTTAGTCTGTTTCTTAATCAGATGACAATGATACAGACGTGGCACAGATGAAGGGGGCATTATGGAGATGATTGATCGTTCACACTTTACTGGACCGCAGCTCGTGGGCTTCGTTATAGATGTGTGTTAAGTTCTTGCAGCTGCACATTTTGGGACTCTTGCTCTGATGCATATATTGCAGGTAATTCTTTTTTTTTAGCAGTTAGCAGCGAATCATTGTTCTTGGTGCCATGTTTGTGGCTATGTGTGCTTGTTTGCTCGGTTGGCTTGCCAGGACATTTGGCTGCACCCCTGTCCCGTGGAGGATTACAGGAAGTGGCAGATCAAGGGCCTCAGCCTGGCAGCGTGGCAGAGGACTGAGAATTACAGCAGAAGCAGGAGTGTGTGCATGTGTGCGACGGAATATGTGTGTGTGTGTGTCTGCACGTCTGCGTGCGTGTGCGTGACTGCACTGAGGAGATGGCTCATCCCTCCAGCCACAAAACCAGTCATCTCTGTGATCCCCCCCAAAAACTGTCCCGTGTTTGATGCTCACCACTGACTCCGCTGCTGCCTCCACTGTCCAGCTGGGAAGATGACAATGTCCCTTTGGTGTTGTCTGGAGGAGAGAGAGGGGAACAGAGAGGGAGGTTTGGCTAGAGAGCGAGCAGAGGGGACAGGCCAATAGACGAGGGACAGCAGAGAAAGGGAATAGATGGGAAAGAGTGAGAGAGGCAGGCTATCCCCTGCTTTAAGGTTTAATGGCCAAGAATAGAACCCTTATTGATCTGTGTATGGTAATGCACTGAGACAGATATGCCCAAGTGTGCACACACACACACACACACACACACTCTGCTCTCAGTTGTTTTCTACATGAGATCTCAACTGTGAAAAGAAGTGTCGAGCATTTAGAAAACAGGTTTCACTGGACAAGCAGTTTATGGATATTAGCTGTCCACTGGATTAGCAGTGTAATTTAAAAAAAGGCAGAAGTTAAGTGTTTAAAATGAGTGAACTGTTGTTGTTAAAACAGTGTTTTCGACGTGGGGCTGTAAGGAGTCGATGTCCATGTCCTTTATTTATTGACAAGTCTCGATTCTTCGCACTGATGCGGCAGGAGTGGCAACAGGCAAACCACCATGATGCTGTTTTGAAACCTTTAGTTTGGTATTTTTTTCCAGTGCATCTTGATTTTTTTGAAACCTTGAGTAACCGTATTTGGAGCAACGGGGGGGGGGCGAGCTGGACTGAAAGCTTGAGGACACTTAGATCTATGACCTGCACCCATTGGATGTTACCAGCTGTCAAATAATGAGCCCATATTCTCCTTGAGTTAATATTTTCTGATGTTATAACTAGAAACTGATTTCTTTTTGCAGCCAGTTGAGTCGCCCTCTGCTGGTCTGTTGAGAAAATAAAGGTTTTAGGCACTTTCACATTGGCGTAACTTTCTGGACCTTGATTTTTTTTTAGGTCCAGTCTGTGGATACGACATAAGAGATGTGTTTTTAAGCCAGTGACGAAAAACACTGCTCGTTCAACACAGTTAGCGACATCCATCTATCCATCGTATAATGTAATGACATTCAGAGCCGCCGTCAAATGATGATTTAAAGATGGTGTGATCCATCAGTCTCTAAATGGAAAAACTAATCAACCAAAGATCACAGTCTAATCTGGGGGAAAGCAATGTCTATGTAAACATTGAGACAAGTCTAAAGCTACAAGATTGAGATTTTATTTATCATAAACCCTGTTTAATACTCTGAGTCTCATTTACATGATAGATTATTATACTAATGTATGTGGGCGGCAAGAAATGCATTCTCATACAGCAGGAGAAATAATGTGTGTTATAGAACATCAGTACATTTGGTTTAAAATGCTTTTACATCAGATACTGATTAACAGAGTTTTTAAAGTGATCAGCAATAACCAATAACCTACTGGTTCAGTTTGTGTCAAGGGGAATCTCCCTTATAGGGGGAAATTAACACTTTTGTTATTTAGTGTTATAAGCAGAGTTTTTCATTACATGGAAGGAAACATGGTCTTAGCTGATTTTGGTTTTAGTAGAAAATGAAAAGCCATTTTCTACTAAAACCATTTGAATGTGTGTGTGCGTCAGTTTCCTGGGTGTTCTGCGGCGGTGTGTGTGTGTGTAACTCTGTGGTGGCTCACCTCTCTGGGGAGACGGCTCTTTACTGGTGGTAGCCACGAGAGATGGCAGTGCAATAACTCAGAGGCTCTCTGTGAGCGGAGCAAGACGCTGATCAATAGATCAAATTGTCACTCCATGCTCTGCCAGATTATCTCATCGGCAGGCGCAGGACATCATATGACACACACACACACACACATTTGATGGTGGATGACTTTTACAAATGTTAGCAAGCAAATACCGTCTGTGTACTGACATATACGGGGTGCAGCGTTTGCAGGCAGACGCTGTTTCACACATATTTGCAGAGACAACTTTGACCACACACATTTGCACACACTGGCTTTGCAGTACAGTACCTGCTGTGAATGGCAGTAGCCCCATGCACAGAGTGACTATGACATATCTTCATCATTAATCTTCGTTCAGATTCACTCAGTCACTGTGCCACCCTCCAAGCTTGGCCCACACTCCCAGCAGAACCTTGAGTTCTTGGACCAGTCCACCATATGTGTTAAAGTTGTATTGCAGGAGTAGATGTTGGATCTTTATTGGTGTCGTACACAGAAATGAATGTGTTGAATTGTAATTTATGACATGTAAAGCCTCACAGAGTGGTTGCATGCATATTTCTCTTTATGACAAGGAGAATTTAAGCGTATTTCAATGTTTGCGATACATTTCTAAAGGATTCTGATTTGATGTGGACATTTGTTTTGTGTCTGTGATGACGCTAATGGACTGGGATTGTAATGAGAGACAATGACGACTCTCTGGTTACTCTCTTTGTGGACAGACAGAGGGACAGTGAATGGTGAAAAAACATGCTTACATCAAGCTCTCTCTCCTCCCAGAGTGTATGCGCTCACAGATCATTTGTTTATTTATTATTCTGTATGTTTTGTTGTGTCGTTATTCCAATTTCCTTTTTCTCTCCCCTTAACGGGCTTGCCAGTCGCGCAGCCAACTCTTGTAGATGGCGCTGCACGGAGCAGATCAGGCCTGGGGTTGTGTGTTTGTGTCTGCGTTCAGTTATGCAATGTGCCGAAGCTTGGCGCAGCAATGACGAGGCTGACGGAGAGACGGCAGCAGCCTCATCAAAGCAGATAAGCTGCCGCTGCCGACACCGTGGTGTGTGCTGTATGTCGAGTGGACTGTTAACAGTTGTGATCAATACATGTTCCTGTCTTCTGTTATCGTTTGTTCAGCTTGCAATGGTGCCCCTGCGGTGATATCCAGGAAACTCATCCCTGTGTCAGTGGTTAGCGTGGTAGCTAGCAGTAGCATATGGGGGATGAAGGATTAGGAGTGAGGGCGACGTATCACACAAAATCAAAAGGGATTAGAATCTCATCCCTGTTGACCTCATTTCACTTTTCACAAGTGGGACAAAGATTTGGGAAGAGGAAGAAGAGAGAACATCGCTTGAAATTAAGTCGACTCATTGCATCCGATGTGAAA